AGGTTCACCCTGAACACATGTGACAGACGTGAAAGCCATGGAGAACATTATACTGCCTGTAACATTGTTCAGCATGACCATTTTGGTAGTGGACCAGTGATCGTCTGGGGAGGCATATCTATGGGAGGGACACACAAACCTCTACATGCTGGATAATGGCACTGACTGCCATTAGGTATCAGAATGAAATCCGTGGACCCATTGTCAGACCCTACGATGCTGCAGTAGGTCCTGGGTTCCTCCTGGTGCACGATAATACCCAGCCTCATGTGGCGAGAGTATGCAGGCATTTCCTGGAGGATGAAGGCGTTGATACCATTGAATGGCCCCACTCTCACCTGACCTAAATCCAATAGAACACCTCTGGGATATAATGTTTTGGTCCATTCGATGCCGCCAGGTTGCACCTCAAACTCTCCAGGAGCTCAGAGATGCCCTAGTCCAGATCTGGGAGGAAATACCCCAGGACACCATCCGTCGTCTCATTAGGAGCATGCTCCGACATTGTCAGGCATGCATGCAAGCACGAGGGGGACATACAAGCTACGGAGTACCATTTTGAGTTACTGAAGTGAAATTTCAGCAAAATGGACTAGCCTGCTGAATCAACTTTTCACTTTGATTTTCGGGATGTCTTTGAATTCAGTCTTCTGTAGGTTGAGAATTTTCATTTCCATCAAACAGTGGGGCATTCTTATGTTCCTAACACATTACCCAGTCCATATCAGTATAGATATCCAGCATGAGATTTTTTTTCCCCATTGAGATTGTTTTCAAAGTTCTCCTTTAACTTTTTAGGGCAGTGTATGAAGCAATTAGGCAGGACATTTCAATGTCTAAAAAGTTTAGAGGTTTACTTTACCCTCTCCCTACCCACAATCTGTACATGCCCCTTCCTGAAGTATATCAGTCTAGGCAGTTACCAGTTGACACTCTGCGCAGCTGCTACCTATCAGACTGGGCTGTCACTGACTGCTTTGATCCTGTAGATTTTGGCAACTGAATAGCTGAGATTTTCTCTATATTGTTTTACTAATGAAATGATTAGTTTAAACATTGATGTGTTCCTTATTTAGATTGTGTACAATCTCATTAAATGTAATATTTATACAGTGCCCTGCATCATTCACTTTATTATGTATGGTATTCACAGGTTTTATTAACCAATTCTTTTTACATATGTGTGAAAGAATAATATGTAAACATACCCAGTGAAATGACTGGCCTCAGGTAATCCACAGAAATTAAACAAATTCCCCTACATAAGTTGTACCTGCTTATTTGCAGTCAGCTGTCCTCTACATCCATGCAAAGTGTACAGTTTACACAGCATTTCTGAGCTCTAGCAGACAGGGGGTGGGGATCTGATGTCAAACATTGCACAGCATAGAGAGGGAGAGCTGAGTGTAATCTGAGACTGGTGTGGAAGGAATGGACACACCCCTCTTCACCACAGCACAAAGGGAAACATGCACAGTTGAGGCTGTCAATCACAGGTTGTGTGTTAGAGCTCTCCTCCCTCTCACCAGGATTCTGTGGTGTGGGTATTACCTGTCAGAAGCGACTCATGCAGGTTGCAGAGGGTAGAGGCAGCAGACAGAAATCACACTCCTTTCAGAGGTTTACAACCACTCTAACCCCTGGACAACCCCCATTGTAAATGAATATTCTCTTGTACCAAGAGGCCATTAATTAAGTGTAACCAAAGCCTTCAATCCTTTAGGGCAGCTTCACACTGATCTGCTGTGCTTTGACCGCATTTCAGAGTATTGGTGCGGGTCAACTGCGCTTTGCCATAGACTACTATTATGTCCCACGGTTTTGGTTCATTTTCTGAAAGCACAGTGGGACAGTGTAAAGCCGCCCCAAACAAAGAAGCTGGCATCTCAACTTCAACCATAAAAATAGCTGGTGTCATAACTGATCACATATGTAGCACCATGGCAACAGTAGGTCCAACAGAGGTTAAGATGGCAGCTCTCTTGGCTGTAAAGAATAGGAGGACCTATCCTAACTGATCTGTAACCACTAATGGAATGGTGACAGATCATGTGATCACCATGCTTTAACTAAACCCACTGCAAGAGTTAAATACCTCTTATGTCTAGGGTTTAAAGTAAAGGTACTTACTTATGACTCTACTCTGGTTGGCTGCAGAGCTGGTTGCAGCTTACAGAGCAGCTTGGCGAGGGAAAGGGGGACCAGTCACAGTGCTGAAGGGACACTGCTGGAACTAGGAATAAGACAATTTTACCTTATTCCCTGCTCCTTACTCATGCACTCCAAGACCAAGAGAATTTAACCCTTGCAATGGGGAGGCACTGCAATGATGAATTTAGTTAAATTCCTGGAGCTGGGTTTTAAAGTCCTGCCAGTTTCAGTTGCAGCAGGCTGGAGACTCTGCATAACTGACCTGCCACTACTCTGGTGACAGAGCATGTGATCACCATGTTTAACAAATCAGTCCAGCAACAAACTTTATTGTTCCCTGGTACATTTTAAAAGCTTCTCTTTGCTCACAGCAGCTTCCAGCTGTGAAAAGATAAGGTAGACTGTGTTACAGTGGATATAAAAAGTCTACACATCCCTGTTAAAGTGTCAGGTCTCTGATGGAAAAAAAAATGAGACAAAGATAAATAATTTCAGAACTTTGTCCACCTTTAATGTTACCTAATGTAACCTATAAACTGTAAAACTCAGTTGAACAACAAACTGAAATCTTTTAAGTGGAGGGAAGTAAAATTAAAAAACTAAAATATTATGGTTGCACAAGTGTGCATACCCTTAGGCTCCATGCACACTGGGTGTTTTGATAACGCTGGTAACGTTAGCTGTTAAAGTCACGTTAAAATCGTGAGTGTTTCAGCTTTTCTTTAGCATTTTTCTGCGATTTACCATGTTTCGCGTCATTTTTCAGTGTTAGAGCATTTTTACAGCTAAACAACTCCTCTAGAAACACACTAGTTCTGGGTTTTTTTTCCAGCCAAAAAAAGTGGCTGCCAAACAACGTTGATTACCGTCTATGTGTGCATGGACACAAACGATAACATGTGGGGGTGTTTACTAGCTGTAGAAAAAAAACGTCAAAAAACATCAAAAGCCAAACACAGCAGCTGTAAAAACGTCCAGTGTGCATGAGGACTTAAACTAATACTTTCTTTAAGCACCTTTTGATTTTATTCCAGCACTCAGTCTTTTTGGGTATGAGTCTATCTGCATGGCACACCTTGACTTGCCAATATTTGCCCACTCTTCTTTGCAAAAAAACACTCCAAATCTGTCAGATTGTGAGGGCATCTCCAGTGAACAGCCCTCTGCAGATCACCCCACAGATTTTCAATCGGATTCAAGTCTGGGCTCTGGCTGGGCCATTCCAAAATTTTAATATTCTTCTGGTGAAGCCATTCCTTTGTTGATTTGGATGTATGCTTTGGGTCGTTGTCATGCTGAAAGATTAAGTTCCTCTTCATGTACAGCTTTCTAGCACAAGCCTGAAGGTTTTGTGCCAATATTGCCTGGTATTTCAAACGGTTCATAATGCTCTATACCTTGACTAAGGCCCCAGTTCCAGCTGAAGAAAAACAGCTTCACTGTGAGTATGGTGTTCTTTTGGTGATGTGCAGTGTTGTTTTTGAACCAAACATCTTTGGGAATTGGCCAAAAAGTTCAACCTGGATTTCATCAGACCATAACACATTTTCCAACATGCTTTTGGGAGACTTCAGATGTGTTATTGCACAATTTAGCCGGGCTTGGATGTTCTTCTTCATAAGAAAAGGCTTCTGTCTTGCCACTCTACCCCATAGCCCAGACATAAGAAGAATACGGGAGATTGTTGTCACATGTACCACACAGCCAGTACTTGCCAGATATTCCTGCAGCTCCTTTAATGTTACTGTAGGCCAATTGGCAGCTTTGCAGGCCAGTTTTCTTCTCGCCTTTTTCATCAATTTTGGAGGGACGTCCAGTTGTTGGTAAAGTCACTGTTGCACCATATTTTCTCCACTTGATGATGACGGTCTTCACTGTGTTCCATGGTATAGCTAATACCTTGGAAATTCTTTTGTACCCTTCTCCTGACTGATACCTTTAACAATGAGATCCCTCTGGTTCTTTGGAAACTCTCTGCGGACCATGGCTTTTGCTGTAGGATGCAACTAAGAAAATGTCACGAAAGACCTACTAGAACAGCTGAACTTTATTTGGGGTTAATCAGAGGCACTTTAAATGATAGCAGGTCGGTACTGACTCCTATTTAACATGATTTTGAAAGTGATTGCTTAATTCTGAACACAGCTACATCCTCAGTTATAAGAGGGTGTGCACACTTATGCAACCACATTATTTTAGTTATTTTATGTTTACTCTCCCCAACCCCCTAAAAGATTTCAGTTTGTTTTTCAATTGAGTTGTACAGTTTATAGGTCACATTAAAAAGGTGGAAAAAGTTCTGAAATGATTTAGCTTTGTCTCATTTTTTGACATCACAGAAGTCTGCCATTTTAACAAGAGTGTATAGACTTTTTATATCCACTGTAAATAAAAAATAATATCATAATAAAAACTACATAATGCACAGTAATAGAAAATGTATTTTGAAAAACTGTGTATCAAACCCTACATGTTTTTGGTGTCCCTGTTCTCAGGATAAAGAAAAAATAATAATTTAGAGAAAATATTCTGAATATTAAACTATAGAAAACTGTTACATACAATTACATAGAAACTAAAAGTGCATTTTTTTCATTTGTTTACAAAAAATAAAAAAACAAAAACAAGACATATTCAGAGTATGTAAAAAAAATGACCAGATGGCAGCCCTATCTCTGCCTAGAAAATGGTGTGAAATGCATTATGCAAAAGCTGTCAAAAAGATATTGTTGAGTAAAACTGCATCCCAAAATATTAAAAGTCGATCTGGTAAAAAAAAAAAATGTTCTATTACCCTGGGACTTGAAAAGATTAACAAGATGTTTTACCAAAAACTATTTTTAAGTTACCTCAGCAACTCTTTCGAGGAGGGGTTCCAACCAATGCTCATTACACTCACAATGGCTATCAAGGAAGGTGAGAACCTTGGACTGAGCTGCATCTGCTCCTTTAACACGAGAACGCATAAGACCTGTTATAAAAGACAGCAAGACTATTAGCCCCGCTCACACAAAGAATACCATAAAAAGAACTTAACAAAAAAAAAGGTAATACCACGTGTTAGTACAAAACATAAAATGTACCCAAATTATGAGATCACCTCAAGACAGTATGTATGGCTGGACTGAACAATGATCCTCAATATCTGTAGCTACCAGCAGTATGCAGCAGACAGATGACTAGGATTAGGCTACATTGGGGGTATCTTGCCACTTCTTTGTTCCACAGGCACACACATGCATGGTAAGACAATATGAGCATTTGTGTTTATGTAGAGATAAAAAAAAAATTCTAATGTTGCTCATAAGTCATCGGTTTGTAATAAATATCAAGAAATTACTTCTATACTTATAAGGTTGTCACCAGGCGGTACAGAAAACTGGCAAAACTAGTCAAACTCTATCCTCATCATCCTGCATGCTGCTGGCGATGTGGAACTCAGGTCGGCACATTCCTGCATCTGTTGGGATTGCAGGCCTTACAAACCTTCTGGCGACCAGTCTTAGAGTTTATACATCACACAATGGGCTACTCTTTGACAGATAATCTAGTGGCCATCTTTTTTCACCTCACCCCTATGTCGCATAAACGTTATAAGAAAAATTTTCTATTAAATGCAGCTAAGGCCTGCATCACCAGTGTATGGAAATGTATGCATCTCTCTCCTACTGTGCAGCAGTGGTTTGCCAGAGTAAATGCTATCCAGGAGATGGAGGATCTTACGGCGGCCCTTAGGAACAAGGCCTCTGAAATAAACCAGAAAAGGTTTTACAGGAATGACTTTAAAGTACTCTTCCAGATACAATCAATGGTTGAGAGTACCCGATTACCTCCTGTTTAGGCGGTAGTCCTTTTACCTCGTTATCCTTCATGTGTCAGAGTCTTATCGGGGAGCTATATGGGACAGTATCCTAACCCATATTTTTATCTGATTATAGGAGATGCTTGTTCATGGATCCCTTCTTATTGTTATTACATTACATTTTTTCTCCCCTACCCTTTCCTCCATATCATTCTGGTCTCCCCCCTAAAAAAAAAAAAAAAAAAATGTCCCAAAACCAATTAATGTGATTAACACAAAAGTCCTCAACATGTGTAAGTAGATGAAAATCTTCCACCCATAAATCCTAAAATGAGTGCCACAATAGACCAGCAACTTACACCAGGTGGACAGAAATGCAAGTTACGACACAAATATGACCCCCTAAAATTTAGAAAATTCATAAAAGGCATGTATCAAAAGGATCCACACTGGCAACATCTCCTCAGTTCCTCTTCAGAGTCTCAAGTTATCCTGGTAAATCCAATGTCTTCACCTTCAGCCATGAATGTTCAGAAATAAAAACAAGAGCAGATTCTCTGCATAGCATAAAACCCAACAAAACTTTTTTATTAAAAACTAAATATCACTTACAAACATCAATAGCACTCATTTCAGGATTTATGGGTGGAAGATTTTTATCTACTTAAAAGTCCACAACATGTGTAAGTAGAAGTAGATAAAAATCTTCCACCCATAAATCCTGAAATGAGTGCCATGATAGATCAGGAACCTCCACCAGATGGAAAGAAATGCAGGCTTACCAAACAAAAATGACCCCCTAAATTTAGTGAAGTCATAAAAGGCTTATGTCAAAATGATCCACACTGACCACATCTACCCACGTCCTCCTCAGACTCTCAATATATCCCGTTAAATCCAATGTCTTCACCTCCAGCCTTTAGCCATGAATGCTCATAAATAAAAACCAGGTAATAGCGCTTTAAGAAATGGCTCTGGACTCACGATTCTGTTTGTATACTGTCCGGAGCGGTTTCCTAAAGCGCGATTACCCTATTGATGTTTGTAAGTGATATTTAGTTTTTAATAAAAAAGGTTTTGTTGGGTTTTACGCTATGCAGAGAATTTGCTCGTTTTTATTTCTGAACATTCATGGCTGAAGGTGAAGACATTGGATTTACCAGGATATCTTGAGACTCTGAAGAGGAACTGAGGAGATGTTGTCAGTGTGGATCCTTTTGATACATGCCTTTTATGACTTTTCTAAATTTAGGGGGTCATATTTGTTTCGTAACTTGCATTTCTGTCCACCTGGTGGAGGTTCCTGGTCTGTTGTGGCACTCATTTTAGGATTTATGGGTGGAAGATTTTCATCTACTTACACATATTGTGGACTTTTGTGTTAATCACATTAATTGGTTTTGGGACATTTTTGTTACCACTGAAAATTACTGGTGCATTTTTTCATTAGGAAAACATTGTTTATTTACACGAATTGTTAATATGAAAAATATCTCAGCCTGTTTGCTGTTTTTTTGTGTATTTGGCTTTTTTTTGCAAAAGAGCAGTTTTTCTGTCTATTTGCACATTAGCTTATGAAAGGGAACACATGGTCAGAAGGTGGAAGGTCTGCATTGCTAATTGCCCAGTTGAAGTGTTGACAAGGCTGAAAAGAGAGTGGGGAGACAATACTGTACACATCAATGTTCTCTGTATGACATCAGCCACCAGGTACTCTCGTAGCAACTAATTGCTCTAAGGGAAATTAGATTTTAAATAGTATACCAAGACCATAATAAAATAGATAATTGTGGAAAATAAAGAGCGTGCATTTTGTGAATTGGAATATAATTGTTCCACTGCACACTGGCACTTGGGAACAAGAACTGCTTCCAAGATATTTAATTACTGGGAGCTTTTCCAGTGTCTAGTTAGTACAAGTCTGGCTTCTGTGAAAGCCCGAAGAATACAAATGTTAAATATCTTCAGAATAGTCCAACTCTGAGTTAAATAGGTCAATGCTGGAAAAAGGTGATTAGTATAGCCTGTCACATTATGAATTTAAATACTGTGATCCATTAACAGGTCATTGGTTTACATTTACTCCTAGATTGTAAGCTCAAAGGAGCAGGGCCCTCGAACCCCTCATGTATCACATTGTATTGTTATGGTACTGTCGCATGTTCTGTCTCCCTTTGTAGTGTACAGCGCTGAGCGAACTGTTGGCGCTTTATAAAAAATGTATAATAATAATAATAATAATAATAATTTACACCATATGTGATTATGATATGGCCACGATATTTCCACCAACACATTTGAGGAAAATAATAATTGATTTTTCTTTGGTAATGGTATATAAACACTACTTACCATATCCCAATGCAATAATGGCTTGGGAATGATCTTAAAGTAATTATCACTTTATATACCCGATCAGGTAAAACATCACCTTTACTAAATCATATATTTCTTTACTTGTCTCCAAGACCGCCAACAAAAAAAATGACAAGGTGGGGGTTAGCTTTTTGGAGCATAAATTCCTATTCCTGCAGCATGACCTGGCTATGCGCTTGCACCCATCATTACTGTAAACAAGCTGTTCCAGACCACCATTACAGGGTACTGATGGGAGATGGGTGATCAATGAGCAAAGCTGTCTCCAAGATTTTAGAAGTACAGTAGGATGTACTCAGTGCCAGGAGGCTGCAGACAATAATCACTGAAACATTAATTATCCCCTGTAACTTATGCTGGAAATTTTTTCAAAGGCTCCTAGAAGTATATATAAAAAGAGTACAATGTTTAGACTTATCCCATGTATGCACACTTTCTGTCACCTATCAAATGGCACAAGAAAAGGCATATCCTTGCTGTAAAATGAGTAAAGAAAAGCACATTAGGGTCTTCTGAATGCCTTTCTGCTGACATGAAATAAGCAGCGTTAAAAATGCGCCTAAAGCAACTTTAGCCATGTTCCAGCATGTCAAGCGTTTGGGAGCTCATTCTATTCATTTCTCATAATAATTTATTCTGGCCATTGATATGAATTAATGCTCCACTGCATTTAGGTGCATTTACACTTTTCTACCCAAATGCTCCTCTCCTAAACGAGATTTTGATGCGCTCAGATTTCTGCCACCAAACACCTATCAACACCTATGTGTGCATGGACACAAAGGCCAACCTAAAGGGTGTTTAGGGGCATACAAAAATGTTGAATACCTATAAAAGGGGAGTTTGACAGGTCGATGAAAGATACATGAACTGTCCAAAAGTTACAGAACAAATCTCTTTCTTTTAACTGACATATTTTAACTAGAAACGCTACAATTTCTGGGGAAATTGTGTGAAGTGTTCTTGCCTCCACTAGTAGTCTACAACTCACACTCTAGCTTTTGTCACTCTGCTGCCTGCTCACACACCTGGGTTCCTATGGCAACTCATTCTACAGCAAGGGCAGAGAAGAGCGGTTAAAAACAAACTGCTCCAACTTGCTCACTTCACTGGCGGTTGCCATCTTCAAAACGGTTGTAGTTTAAAAATTATAAATCCTACACCAAAGACCTTTATATTGTGAGAATCACAAGACCCAGACCTACATTTTGATGCATAGTATGTCTCTGAAATATTAAAAATAAAGGCACAGTCGCAGTTTAGATATTGCCCTTCAAATTTGAGGTGGCTAGAGTGGAGTTTCAATGAATGTCAATGGGCGGCATGAGTTGCAAACAAATGGTCATATTGTGAAAACTATCGGGAATATGGCTTAGTCGTGGACATTTTTAGTGGCAGCAGGGATAGCTGAACGTTTTGATATAAGATTTGTGTAGGTGGGCTTGAAAATGAAGGAGTGATGGCAATTTAGAAATCATGTCCTGATTTTTCAGCTCCCACTCTAGTTTTGAACATTCCGCCATTCATTCCTATGGGACCAATTTCACCACAAAAAACGCTGATATTTCGTGAACCATTCGGCGAAACGTTCCACAAAGTAATAGCACACCAATCGGGAACAATCCGCACGTTCCGGTATATTACTGTCTATGTAGTGTAAAAACTGTGGGAGGAGTTAGGGTGGTAAATTTGGCTATAATAATAAGAATATATATGTGAGATAACAGTAAGTGGTCTTGCCATGCAAGAACACCTAATTATTCAATTACCAATCAAATTACAGAACAGACTATTGCCCTACAATCAGAACAATTTTAAACCATAATTATTTAACAGGAGGTGCCAAACATTTCCATGGTTTGCTTCATTATGGTAGCTGCGTCCATCTCTTACAGCATAGAGAAGTCATGGTCCTGCAGCTGACAAGTGTCAGATTGAGAAGGAAGAAGGAGCATTTGGACATGGGATTACAGTGTCCCTAACATGCTGATATTCTATAGTTATTGTCAGAGGGGGGAAGACTGTAATGTGCCAGAGCTATTGTTAGATAAAGTTGGCACTGCATCAGAATGTAGCAGCCCTAGACCTAGTTGTCCTAGTTTAAGCCCCTGGTCACATCAAAGCAGATTTTGAAATCGTGCGACTTACAGTGAAGTTGCATGATTTCAAAATCGGTGACTTGCCGATTCCAATTGCAATTCGCAAGACATCTGACACAGATGTCCATGCAAATCACAACAAAAGTAATGCATGCACGATTTTTGGAAATCGGTGCAGCTCCAACCAAGTCAGAAGTGCACCGATATGACCGCTATAGTGGACAATAGGGTGCGGCTTGGCATGGTAGGCAACTTGCAAATCATATGCCAAGTCGTACCCGATGTAACCAGAGTATAACGGTATATCTCCGCCACATCACACACTGCATGCATGCTTACCTTGGGGCTGCACACGGTTACAGCAAGTAACTGTGTTCACTCTGGCCTTTATTATATAAATTGCCATTCCAAGGTTGACATGAAGTATTTGTCACATTGGAAGCAATGCTGGCACTTTAGATATGGGTCATCAATCATAAAAAGCCACTGCTATGCCCAAGTAACACGAAAAAGGAGGAGTAGGTGAGAAGATTCCAGGTGACATTTGTTGATAAAGAGTCCCATGACAGATTAAATAAACTCAAACTTTAAATGACCAATTCCAGGATGGGAGTCTGAGAATAATGAACGAAAATAAATGGCATTAAGTAACCTCAGCAACCAGCATTCATCAGCCTTGTGTACTCAGGCATCTGTAATATGGTTTCTTAAATTAAATAAAATAAAAACCCTGGTTCCCACTTCTCTTTAGGATATTCGTTCATTTTCATATACCTGTTTAGAAATATTAGCAATCAGGAATGGCTGAGAGTTGAAAGCAAAACTGCCAATTCAAACAGGAGAAATCCAGACAAAATAAAAAGACATGTAAAAGGGTTGATTCATCCAAAATGGTATTTTAGTTATACAGTAGGTGGAACTTAAAACTCTCTCAGTAGGTTTTTGACACTACAACACCAAGATATCCCTGCCTTATTTTTCATCTCTGCAGACATTGGGGTTTTAGGTGCTCCGGCTCTTCCTGCTGCATTCTCCACAACCGTGGAATACTCTCCCAATGACTACAGCAGGTACAAACTCAAAGAAAGACCTAAGTCAAAGATGTTATCAGCAATCTCACCCATTTTTGTACATGCAGCTGCAGCAGGGCAGGGAATGTCCTGACCACTGTTGACTGGGTGGTAGTGGGCAGGAGTCACAACTTCTTTCCGGGTTCGGTCCTAACCCAAGTTCTGGCCAAACTGTGTTCATCCTTACTCATCAACAGAAGCAGTAAGCAATAAAAGAAAAAAAGTATTTGGTACGTAAACTCTTCAGCATTTTCCAACAACAGAAACACCAGTTCTGTGAGGACTGACCAATACAATTCCATACTATGATCTATTCTGGTCAGTGTGCTTTACAATTCTTTTATGACTGTGAGCTTCAGCACTGCCAGCAATGAATACTGCAAACCATTTCACAGCAGCTAAGAAGAAATTAATCACACAATGTAGACAAGCGGATTCATGGATGCATAGCCTCTCTGTAACTGCAGCATGTTGCCTGAAAATTACAGAACAAGAAGCTGTCCAAAACAAGCTTTTATTGTCAAAACTAGACTTTTTTTTTTTTTTTAAGCAAAATAAAACATACTCATACAGCAGAAAAGTAGCTTGTCAGGGCTTTTTTTTCTAGGTCTTCTACCAGCAGAGAGCTTTGGCTAAAATCAATACAAAACCCAATCACTAAAATCTCAAACTTTAAAACACATTAAAGTAGTTTCAAAAGTCAATGCTTTTAAATCTGAAACGTTCAAAAAAAAAAAAAAAAATGATATATTAAAATTAAGAAAAACCTTGTGCAGGAACTTCCTGTTAAACGGTGACAACAATCTATGCCTGTGTCCTTCTAGTTCACAACAGATGGTGAAAAAAGTATTAAAACAAAAAAAATTATTTTTATAATATATAATGCTTTGGTAAATTAAAAGGCCAACAAATTAGGGTTTTACAACTACTTTACGCATTTCAGAGACATTTCAATTTTTTATGTTAAAGTGCAGCAGACAAGAGGAAATTATACTTTAACCAATGATTAGGTCTATGTTATTTACGATGTTATATAACGAACATACCTTCTCTGCGGTCATTCCTAAGGACCCGAACTTTCTCTATCCTCCCAAGCAGAGCACCATCTTCAGCTTAAAAATAAAACACAGCAAAATTGTAAACTTCTAGAAAGTGTGCACCAATTATTACTCAATGGGCAAACCATTAGGAGATATACTAGATGGCCAAAAGTTTGTGGATCCAGACCATCACACCCACCATGTGGTCAATGTATGTGGGCACCTCGTTAAGCTATTGAGTTTGGGTATTTCTAGTGAAGGGTGCTGCTGATGCTACAGTATACAGACAGACATCTGTGCACTTCTGGCCCTGTTAAAGCTTTTTCTGTTCCAACATGACTGGGCCCCTGTATATATTGCCAGTCCCATAAAGACATGGTTTGAGAAGTTTGGTTGGGGAGGAAATCGAGCTGCCTGTATACATAGGCCCAGACCCCAACCCTACCTAAATGCCTTTGGGATTAATTGTAATGCCAACTGCAAACCAAGTCTTCTTATCTTTCATCAGTACCTGACCTCAATTTATTTCAAAGTGGGCACACATTTTCACGGTTACACTCCAAAATCTTGTGAAAAGTTCATGAAGGTGTGATGATCATGTGTCCAAAAAACTTGTGGCCATACAGTACCCCAACATCAGGGCAATGCAGCAGTTGACGTCCTGTACAGCAAACAAAGTGATTGCAAAGGCTTAATGCAAAGAATGCAGAAATCCTCAAGGTAAAAAAACCCTCCATGGATAGCTCCAACCCAGCCCCCATAAATATTTACCAAAGCCCGATCTCAATCCAGTGCTGTGCCCACGAGCAGCGGCACTATTCTCTCTCTCCCCACTGGACATGGAGGCAGCAGCGGGAGTCCTTGGCTCCTGCTCCTGTCAATCAAGTCATGTGAAGAGGGAGCGGGGAGGGATGGGGCTGAGCTGTGTGTGTCAACAGATTCACGCAGCCTGGCTCAGGATCAAGCCTGCACAAATAAGTAGACACATATAATATGTTTGTAATTAAAAAAAAAATATTTACAAATCACTTTAAACCTCATAAGGCCCTACAACAGATTGAAAGCATATTATCACCTGTCTGGGCCAATCATCTGCGGCTGGGGCATTCCCTGCTGCCACACAAATACCATGGGGATGCAGCTGTGGGGCAGTGAATTTTACAGCTGCAGCTGCCTAGGTACAGTGACAGCTTCCTGGTAGACTTGTTCAGGTGGGTTTGGGCTGAATTAAGAATAATTAAAATCTCTTCAAATAAATGGATTTTCTGATTTTGTGGTTGGAGACTGAAATCATCAACAGAATCAATAACAATAAGATTTGGAGATAATGTATGAAATATCAACTCTGGTGAGCAGCCAAAACATGGATACATGTCCTCAAAAAAATAGGGGTAGTTGGGAGGTCTGGTAATGTCCATACAAACAGGAAAAAATTCCTGGTAATCATTTAAAGTTCTATAATGTCCAGACAGAAAGCAGTTAAAATGTGTTAATGGCACACTGTTAAAGGCTAGTTTTTAGCCACACAATGCAGAAAGTGAAAATAGTAAAACTACCTTAAAAAGGATTGGTTTACAATTGTCATTACAATTATCATATTCTTGGGTTTAGGATATTGACATTAAAACAAAGTTCCAGTCGTTTTCAAGTTTATTAAAAGTCAGCAGCTACAAAAAACTGTAGCTACTGACTTTTAATAAACACACTCACCTGTCCCAGGGTCCAGTGATGTGCTCACCCAAGCTGTCCCTTCTCTCCCTCTTCCCCCCTTGGCACTGGCATCTCAACTGTGGGCACCCAGATGTGACAGCATGCGGCTTCACAGCTGGGTGCCCACTGCGCATGTGCGAGATGCCCTGCACCTCTCGGAATGGTCCAATAGTCTGGACTTGTAAAGTGTCCCAGAAGACTGCAGGGGGAAAGAGAGGGGCCCGAACCAGGTATGCGCTTCTCCCCTAAAGTTCCAAATGTGGCAGTGGAGGGGGGAGGAGGCAGACAAGCAGAGCTTCCCCTTTTGGGTGGAACTCCGCTTTAAAAAAAAAAAAAAAAAAAAAAAAAAAAAAAAAAAAAGGAGAACTTGGCTATTGAGTGTGTGAACACTGGACAAAATGAATAATTGATTATTCTTGACATTTCATTTAGGAAAGTGACTAACTTGCCTATCAGCATTTTTTAGCTTCACAAAAAACAGACACAAAATATTAAAAATGTATATTTAAAGAGATTAGTTCAGCATTTCAGGAAAAAAAAAAAAAAAATTAAAAATGGTGACCACCATACACCTTTCCCGCCCATCGCTTGGTTACGGATATACTTGCCTCCATGGACGATGAGCCGTCAGTGGACCACACAGCTGCTTCTTCCCACTCTTCTTCCCTTTTCTCTGTAGAGCTTCTGAGAAGGATCAGAGCTATTCTGATTGGTCAGTGTCGGCACGACTGCTTTGACCACTCAGAATTGCTTTGATCAGTCCAAGAAGTCCTACAAAAAAGGAGGGGAAGAAGAGCAGGGATTTCAAGTCTCAGGACTGCTACAGAGGCTGCGTAGGCATTATCAGCCAAGTTCAGGTAAGTGCAGCGGGGGACTGAGGAGAAGGGGGGGGGGGGGGGGGTAGGGTATTTGACCATTATTTTTTTTTTTTTATTATTATTTCTGAAAAGGTGAAAAAGCACTTTTTTAATGACCTAGCAGCTCTGCCTTTAAAATTTAGAAACTAGGAATTTAATAACATAGAAAGCAGATGATGACAAAAAAAAAAAAAAAAAAGTGTCAACTCACCACTATCACTGTAATCATCAACTAGTATAATTTCCTTTATAAGATGAAGAGGACTTTTTTTTAACACACTGAAATAAAAAGAAAATGTTTTATTTTACAGGGTTTATAGAAAAAAATAAATAAATCATAACCACACAAGTTCTTCCTATAGTATCTCTTGCCTTGACTATTGTAACTCCCTCCTCATTGGCCTACCTCATCACAGGCTATCCCCTCTTCAGTCTATCATTAATGCTGCTGCCAGACTCCTCCACCTTACCAACCATTCCATATCTGCCATCCCTCTCTGCTAATCCCTCCACTGGCTTCCCAATGCCCAATGAATAAGATTCAAAACATTAACAATAACATATAAAGCCATTTACAACTCTGCCCCAACTACATCACCAATCTTGTCTCCAAATATCACCCAAAACTGTCCTCTTCGCTCCTCCCATGACCTCCTGCTCTCTAGCTCCTATGTTATCTCCTCCTCCCATGCTCGTCTCCAAGACTTCTCCAAAGCCTCCCCCATCCTCTGGAACTCTCAACCCCAATCTATCCCACTATCGCCTACTCTGCCCACTTTTAGGTGATCTCTGAAAACCTCTCTTCAGGGAAGCCTGTCCTGCCTTCAGCTAATAACTGAATCTTCTAACACTCCTATCAGTTCATCCTCCACAGTTATTACCTTTTGTACTACCAGCCCCTCCCTCTTCAACTGTAAGCTCCAAGGAGCAGGGCCCTCCTAACCCACTTGTATTGAACTGTGTTGTTGCTGTATTGTCTCCCTTTATATTGTGAAGAGCTGAGCAAACTGTTGCCGCTATATAAATCCTGTATAATAATAGAGAAATACAGAAAGTAACTACAGAAAATGTTCAACCTTGTTTACATGGTCATAGCAATAATAGTGTTGTTAGAGAATTAGAAGTGAAAATGTTACTTATAAAAGCAAATAAGGAATACTAGAGAATGCAAGCTTTCCAGTCAGCAGGAAAAAAAAAAAAAAAAAAAAAAAAAAAAAAAAAACTGTAAAGCTCTCAACATACGCTACAATCTGTTCATACAAACTCAATAAGCTTGTAGTATAAGGGCCTGCCTCATTGGATACCATTTGATTGGATACTTTAGGTAGGTCATCATATTGCCTAGTTTTGGTAGACCTGAAGTTGACTATACAGAAATTGTATGGTCAGATTGCAACGTCTATTGGTACCCCAAGTAATTGCACACCTTAGTTAAATTGGACTCTAAAGTAAACCGGTCAATAAAAATACACACACTTATCTGCATATTTGTGCTGGATCCCTGTTTTAAATAAGGGATCATTCACACCATTTGCATTGAGCTGCACCGATATGCAGCACAAATGAGGTGAAGTGAAATCTTCCAGCGAGCACACCTGTTCTGGGGACGATGGTCTAAGAAGGGAATTCCCTTCACTTTGGGAGATTCCCTCTAACTTCCTGTTGTGTTTGTGGGACAGGAAGTGAAGGAAACATTCCCTGCTGGTACAGACTGCAAACAAACTGGCAGGGGGTTTTAAATCTTTCCCGACTCTGCTTCATTTTATTTTGATGAAAGTGTATGTTTTGAACAGTCATTCAAGCATATCACAAATATATTCTTTACCAGTTTTTGATAATTATTGCAGCAGATCTCCAACTGTATTGTGAATAAACCTATTTAAAAGGTCAGATCACTTGAAATTCTTATCTCAGTTGTTTTGTTTTTTTTTTTTTTTTTTTTTTTTTTTTTTTAGCAGTCCCGTATACTTCTGGGGTGAGATCCCTGTGCTGGAGATCCCAGGTATGTGTTCCAACTGTGGACCATTCTACTTGCTGCATGATCAATTTATTTATATGCGGTTTACAAATCCAGTATACCCTTGGAGTGTATGTGTCACGTTTATTCATGTAGAATCTTTATGACGCATTGGTGAAAGCAAGTTTTTATATACTTCCATAGTTCTTTGGCTATTTCATCAGGAAAATGCATGGATACCAGTATCCACGCCAGCAGTAGGATGGCTCCTCCAGTACATAGAGCTCCCAAGCCAGTTTGTACACCAGTAGGATATGTAATGCCCTTGACCAACAGGTCTGCAGTGTTCCTATTTAAGTGTATGGTGGAGAATGCAAAAGAAGTAGCGGGGACAATCATACTTCTATGGGAACCTTCACAAACCCAACAAAAACAGAGTCAGAACAATGGCAGGAAAGCCTCTCCACCTCAAGGCACAAATAACAGGGTGACTAATTTCACCATGCTCCAGTTAATGCTAAAATATAATTTGGGGTAAATTGATCATGCAGGCTGAATACTAAATCTAAACCGTAGTGCTAGGTTTTTCTTATGTTATACCACCTCTGCAGTCTTTTTTCATATTTGCATTATTTATAATAGTGTGGTTAATTGAAATGTTTTGCTTACTTAACCAAACAGTAAAAACTTTGTATGGGTAGACCAATCAATACTACAATTCTAACAATTAAGTAAAAAAAACAAACAAACAAACACAGTATATTGAATGCAGTGTATATCCAGCCCCAACTAAAGGCCAACAACCACCAACATTGATGTCCACCATAAGAAAAAAAATGTCCTTGTATTAAAAACATTTCTAATACTGCAGCACTGGCAGTAGAAGCAGGAAGAAAAAAGCAGCCTATATAGATATAGATGTGCAAAGTTGGTAGAGACATATCCAAATATACTTGCTGTGCTGTGTTTAGATTTAGACACTATTATTATTTATGTTTATTTATATTAAATTTTTTTAGCTGTTTTTTTTTTCTTTTTTACACATTTTTGTTTGATTATTAGTCAACAAGAGCAGCAGCATTGGTTGGTGATTTAAATTTTGGCACAGGTTTTGGTTGATTATTTTCCAAATATACTTGCAGCTGAGATTGCAATGAAAGGTGGTTCTTCAAAGTATTGACTCAGGGGGGGCTGAATACAAATGCACGCCACAATTTTTCAGATATTTGTAAAAAATGTATAAATCCATTTATCATTTTCCTTCCACTTCACAATTATGTGCCACTTTGTTTTGGTCTATTACATAAAAGCCCAATAAAATACATTAACGTGTCTGGTTGCAACATTACAAAATGTGTAAAATTTCAAGGAATAGGACTACTTTTTCAAGGCAATGTAAAGTGTAGCCACTTGGAGTATCTTGCCGTGCAGTGGAAACTGTGAAAGGGGGGGGGGGGGGGGGTCAGGTCAACTTTTGCATCAGGACCCACAAGTTTCAAGCTACACCTCTGTACTGCACACCTTGGGGTGTTTAACGCAAAAGCAAACAGGCAGCCGCTAGCCCACTGTGGTGGTGCAGCTTGCTGGTACAAGAACCAAAAGAAAATGTTTTCATTGTAGTGGGAAATAAATCTCAAGCTTACTTGAAAATCAGGTTTTTGGAAGACAGACCAATTCTAAAAATTAGCAACATAAAAAATAGCTCACTCACCTTACAACAGTGCGGAGTAAGGCAGACCTGGCCTCATTATGAAATGTTATGACAACACTTGTGGATGGTAAATCTGTTTTCCAGTGCTTTCTTCGGCATCTATAAAATATTAACCCAACGATATTCTGCATTAGTAAGTATTAACAAAAACAGAGAAAACAGGAAGGAATGCAATCTATATCCAAAATGCATAGTGGCTTACACTTTAGAATAACTTTCAGAGATTCATAGCTGTTGAGTCTGTAAGGCCTCTTGCACATGGAAGCCTAAATACATCATGTTTTAACCACTTGCCCTCCAGAGGATTTACCCCCCCCCCCCCCCCCTTCCTGACCAGAAATTTTTTTGCGATACGACGCTGTGTTACTTTAACTGACAATTGTGCGTTCATGCAACACTGTACATAAATGTAATTTATGTAACTTCTTTCCCCCCACAAATAGAGCTTTATTTCCGTGGTATTTGATCACCTATGCGGTTTTTATTTTTTGTGCTAGAAAACAAAAAAAAGACAGACAATTTTGGAAAAAAAAGAAACTACATTTCTTGTCTGTCTTTTTACTATACAATATCCAGTAAAAAAATTTTAAAATCAAATTTCGTCATAGATTTAGGTGAAAATGTTTTCTGCTACAAAAATCCCAATACATGTAAATTAATTTGTTTACATGAAAGTTATAGCAGCTACAAATGGTGGTATATATACTGGATTTTAATTTTTTTTTTTCATACCATCAATGGCAGCTATCAGCGACTTACAGCGGGATGCAGCAGGGATTCTGACACTGGGTGGGAACTGCCACTGTCATCCCAATGACACCAATACAGTGATAAGTGCTAATAAAAAGCACAGACAATATACTGACACTGTGCAGGAAGGGGTTAACATGCTGTGCAGAGAATGTGAACAACTGTATTATGCAACATAACAGAATTGAACAACTGCCTAAATACTTTATGACACACACACACACACATATATGCACACACACACACACACATCTTCTTCCAGAAGTATTTATTGTGAGGTCACGCACTGATGTTGGATGAGAAGGCCTGGCTTGCAGTCTCTACTTTAATTCATCCAAAAGGTGTTCTATCGGGTTGAGGTCAGGACTCTGTGCAGGGCAGTTAAGTTCCCTCCACCCCAAACTCACTCATCCATGTCATTATGGACCTTGCTTTGCGTACTGGTGCGCAGTTGTGTTGGAACAGGAAGGGGCCATCCCCAAACTGTTCCCACAAAGAAATTCTCCAAAATGTCTTGGTATGCTCATGCCTTAAGAGTTTCACTTTACTGGAACTTAAGGGCTAAGCCCAACCCCTGAAAGACAACACCACATCATAATCTACCTCCACCAAACTTTACACTTGGTACAATGCAGTCAGGCAAGTACTGTTCTCCTGGCAACTGCCAACCCCAAATGTCCATTTGAAGGCCACATGAAGTTTGGAGGTCTTTAGCTATTGACTCTGCAGATAGTTGGCGACTTCTGAGCACTTCAGCAGGCACTGACCTCACTCTGTCATTTTACGTTGTCTACTACTTTGTGGCTGAGTTACTGTTCCCAGTTGCTTCCACTTTGTTATAATACCACTAACAGTTGACCGTGGAATATTTAGTAGCAAGGAAATTTCATGGATGGACTTATTGCACAGGTGGCAACCTATCACGGTACCACGCTTGAATCCACTGAGCTCCTGAGAGCAACCCATTCTTTCACAAAATGATTGTAGAAAGTCTGCATGACACCCCACAGCGCCAACAGTTTACTCAGCGCTTTACAATATAACAGGAGACAATACAGCAACAATACAGTTCAATACAAGAGGGATTTGAGGGCCCTGCTCCGTGGAGCTTACAATCTATTTTCTGTTTGTATTTTTTTTTTGCTGTTTTGACTATATGCACCGTGTGTTCACCAGACTTGTAAATAAAGCACAACTTTTCACCAAGATCCTGCTGTCGTGCTGAGCCTCTTTCATGGTGTTATGACCCATCCAGGGGGGTCAAGCACAACCTGCTACTGGGCTAATCCCTCACAATATTTTATTTTTATATATTATATATATATATATATATATATATATATAACACACATATATATATATATATACATATATACAACACACACACACACACACACACACACACACACATATATATATACATACATATACACACACACATACATTTATTTATTTCAGGTACTTATATAGCGCCGTCAATTTACACAGCGCTTTACATATATATTGAACATTCACATCAGTCCCTAACCCTCAAGGAGCGTACAATCTAAGGTCCCCAACTCACATTCATACATACACATACAAGGGACAATTTAGACAGAATTCAATTCACCTACCAGCATGTCTTTGGAGTGTGGGAGGAAACTGGAGTACCCGTAGGAAACCCACGCAGGCACAGGGAGAACATGCAAACTCCAGGTAGGTGGCGCCGTGGTTGGGATACATACAAGTGAAACTCTAAAAATTAGAATATCGTGCAAAAGTTCATTTATTTCAATAATGACACTTAAAAAGGTGAAACTAATATATGAGATAGACTCATTACAGGCAAAGCAAGATAGTTCAAGCTGTGATTTGTCATAATTGTGATGATTATGGCTTACAGCTCATGAAAACCCCAAATCCACAATCTCAGAAAATTAGAATATTACATGCAATCAATAAAACAAGGATTGTACATAGAACAATATCGGACCTCTGAAAAGTATAAGCATGCATATGTACTCAGCACTTGGTTTGGGGCCCTTTTGCAGCAATTACTGCCTCAATGTGGCGTGGCATGGAAGCTATCAGCCTGTGGCACTGCTGAGGTGTTATGGAAGACCATGATGCCTCAATAGCGGCCTTCAGCTCTTCTGCATTATTCGGTCTCATGTCACTCATCTTTCTCTTGGCAATGCCCCATAGATTCTCTATGGGGTTCAGGTCAGGCGAGTTTGCTGGCCAATCAAGCACAGTAATCCCACGGTCATTGAACCAGGTTTTGGTGCTTTTGGCAGAGTGGGCAGGTGCCAAGTCATGCTGGAAAATGAAGTCAGCATCCCCATAAAGCTCGTCTGCGGAAGGAAGCATGAAGTGCTCCAAAATCTCCTGGTAGATGGCTGCGTTGACCCTGGACTAAATGAAGCACAGTGGACCAACACCAGCAGATGACATGGCTCCCACACAACACAGACTGTGGAAACTTCACACTGGACTTCAAGCATCTTCCAGTGTGTACCTCTCCATTCTTCCTCCATACTCTGGGTCCTTGGTTTCCAAATGAGTTGCAAAAGTTGCTCTCATCAGAAAAGAGGACTTTGGACAACTGAGCAACAGACCAGGTCTGTTTTTCTTTAGCCCAGGTAAGACGCTTCTGACGTTTGTTGTCCAGGAGCGGCTTGACAAGAGGAATATGACATTTGAAGCCCATGTCCAGGGTCTGTCTGTGTGTGGTGGCTCTTGATGCACTGACTCCAGCCTCAGTCCACTCCTTGTGAAAGTCCCCAACACTTTTGAATGGCCTTTTCCTGACAATCCTCTCCAGGCTGCGGTCATCCCTGCTGTTTGTGCACCTTTTTCTTCCACACTTTTCCCTTCTGCATAACTTTCTATTAATGTGCTTTAATACTTTGGGAACATCCAACTTCTTTTGCAATTACCTTTTGAGTCCTTCCCTCCTTATGGAGGGTGTCAATGATGGTTTTCTGCACAACTGTCAGGTCAGCAGTGTTTCCCATGATTGTGATTCCTACTGAACCAGACTGAGAGACCATTTAAAGGCTCAGGAACCCTTTGCAGGTGTTCTGGCTTAATTAGCGGATTACAGTGGGACACTTTGAGCCTAGAATATTGCACCTTTTCACAATATTCAAATTTTCTGAGATTGTCGATTTTGGGGTTTTCATAAGCTGTAAGCCATAATCATCACAATTATGACAAATCATGGCTTGAACTATCTTGCTTTGCATGTAATGAGTCTATCTCATATATTAGTTTCACCTTTTAAGTTGCATTACTGAAATAAATGAACTTTTCCACGATATTCAAATTTTTTGAGTTTCACTTGTATACACACACACACACACACACACACACACACACACAGTGCCTTGAAAAAATTATTATACAGTGTTTATATAGCGCCAAAAAGTTTGCTCAGCGCTGTACAATATAGTAGGGGAATGTACATGAGACAATACAGTAACAAAACAATACACAAGGGGTTCGAGTGCCCTGCTCTTTTGAGCTTACAATCTAGGAGGGAGGGGATAGTGGTACGGGAGGATATGGCTGTGGGGGGGATGGAGTGGTAGGAGGAGTGGAGGAGATCGGCTCTTAGGTGAGGGTGGGGTAGGCTTCCCTGAAGAGATGGGTTTTCAGGGTGCGCCTAAAGGTGAGGAGGGTAGGTGACAGTCTGATGGATTGGGGTAGTGAGTTCCAGAGGATGGGGGAAGTCAAGTCCTGGAGAAGTCCTGTAGTCGGGCATAGGAGGAGGAGACCAGGGAGCTAGAAAGTAGGAGGTCTTATGAGGAGCGAAGAGTACGGGTTGGGTGGTATTTGGATATCAGGTCAGTGAGGTAGTTTGGGGCAGTGTTATCAATAGCTTTGTACGTCAATGTTAGAAGTTTGAATTTAATGCATTGGGCAATCGGAAGCCAATGGAGGGAATGACAGAGGGGGGTGGATGAGTCTGGCCGCTGAGTTCAGGATAGACTGAAGCGGGGATAGTCTGTGATGAGGTAGGCCGGTGAGGAGGGAGTTGCAGTAGTCGAGTCGTGAGATAATAAGGGAGTGAATGAGTTTAGTAGTGTCAGGTGTTAGGAACGTACGTATTTTGGAGATGTTGCGGAGGTGGAGCCTGCATGAATTTGCCAGCGATTGGACATGGGGTAGGAATGACAGGTTTGAGTCTAGAGTGACACCTAGGACTTTGGCTTGTGGGGTGGGACTAATGGTGGCGTTATTGGTCGTGATGGAGAGGGTGGGGGGGGGGGTCTGATATGTCGTTCAGTAGGCAGGTAATTTGGGCTGAGACTGAAGGGGTGAGGCGAGGTATAAAAAAATTATACCATAAATGATACCATTTG